ATAGAAAAGCTATTATAAAACTTGAAAATAGTCAAGTCTTTTTATAATTCGTAAACGTATACAATATCAATATAGGACATAATCTGTATACAGATATTGTAATCAAATTAGCGTTACTGTGATAATCACATTTCATATATCAATACAAATTCTACACGAAAATTTACATTAATTATTGTAATTGAACACACCAAAGGAAGTTTATAGATTAAATAGATTCAAAAATATGTCGAATTCATAAATTTTCTTAACGGGTGTGCATTGTGTTCGATAAAAACCTCTTGTTAATTTCACTTGCAATGTTTATACAACTCAGAGAACGGCTATCAATTTATTCGAAGTGTATTTTTTCTTGTCAGTATGCGAGAACAAATTATAACGCAAGAGAATTAATTGCTGTGTTTCGGGTTCCGAGAGGTGGTATCGGGGATTTAGTTCGAGAAGATCCCGCCTCTGTTCCTTCTCTTTTCCGCCGCGTAACCACCTCTCGCTGTCTCGTACCGCGAAAGGAGATTCCCTCGTAAGGCGTTCTTCGTCGTCGGAATCTCAGGGCGCAGAAAAAGCCGCGACGACGGACCGCGAGGACGTGCCAACCTGTAATTGTTCCCCGATGTAATTGCCCGGTTCTCGCACCGGTTCGGTCCACTCGACAGCCCCTTACGCGTTCTATTCTTCCCTGAAGAATCTGGAAATTCATATTCTGTCGCGACATTCTGTCGCAATCACGTGACGGAGCTTTTTCTTCGCGAGATTATCTAATATTCTATTCTTGTGTATTCTGTTTGCTAGTGAAACAAGTGTGACAATTAAATTGGAATATCAATTATTAAAATTTTAAATACTGATTATATCCCTGGATCGTAAAAATCAGATCATTCGTTAAGCTCGCCACCAATTTTCCGGGACCAGATTTCTCTGGATAAGAACAAAAAAGCAAGATGTGAAGCAAAACTACTGGAGACAAACTACGAGGAAAGAGATATAATATTGAAAAAAGGGAGCGAGGTCGATATTTTTATGCAGAGATTTGATATCGAGGAATAAGGATCTGGGAACATAATTATCTGGCGAGTCAAGAAGACCGCGAGAAAGAGGAAGATAAAGGGAAACGATGCGCGAGAAAAGGGGGAAGAATGGGAGAAGGGGTGAGACGGTCAGGGGTTTATTCTTCGGTACGGCTGGAATCCGAAATGTTCGGAAGGCGCGTTATCTTCTTGCGTCGTTCCACGACAGCACCACTCGCGGATTCCACGATATCGTGGGGCGTGAGTGTATTAGCCTATGTGTATGTGTATGTGCGTGTACAGGTGCAAGCGAGTAAGAGAGCTAGCGCACGTGCGCGGAGATGATATATCTTCGCATCTTCTGCAAGCGTGACGTGAAAAAACATTTCAAAAGATCAAAGGAAAGCATTTGCGTGTTTTTTTTACGCGTACGATATGTCTCTTTTTAATCTTAAAAACATTCTTTCCATAATGTAATTTTTGCAACATTTCGATTCACGTTAATTAAGATAATGATTTTTGTTTAAAGAAAATAATATCAATAATAAATTAAAATTCATTTTCTCAGTTCCTTTCCTCAGTTTATTCACACACAAAACTCTAGTAATTATTCTTCCATGTCACAGGAACAACTTTGCGACGCGTTGTACTCAACGAGAACTCGAGAAATCAAATAGTGTGAGTTTCAATAATTGTCTCTTAAGGGAATGATAAAAAGTGCCGAGGTTTGTATCCTGCTTCGCGCTGAGTAATCTATGGGTCCAGAGATTAGAGAGCTCCGGCCATTTTGGCTGTCCAAGAGAAAGGGGCGAGAAATTGAAAAATAGTAACGTTAATTAAGAGCTCGATCTTTTGTATTTGTCTATCTTATCTACGTCACCACGCTATCTTAAATTTCTGACATCATTAATTCAAGCTCGACAAATGGAGAAATATTTCGATATAACGTTACATATCTTCATTAAATCCAAGATAAATTTGAAATTTTTAGATGCGTATCGCGTAACCAGAAAAATATTATCTAGATTTCGATCGATTCCGCGTACAACCGGGAGTTGCAGAAGAGGTGAAAGGGAAAAGAGAAAAAGAGAAGAGAGAGAGAGAGAGAGAAGGAGAGAAGAGAGAGAGAAAGAGAGCGCTGGATCCCGTAGCGGTAACGAGTCGAGACGGCCCGAGAACATCGGCGGTGCCACTTCAAAGCGAGAATCCCGCGCAATCAGGCCTCCCCCCAGCCCTCCCGAGGCACGTTTGAAAAACCGAGCGCGAGGGCACCATCGCGTCGCGTCGTCCCCGCGCCTCTCGCGTGCCCTCTCAGCAGCATCGCGCAGCCTCCGCGATCTCGGTTCAGAGCGACCGGAGCTGCGAGGACGGAGATCGTCCTGCAATCGAGAGAGCAACTTCGGCGACATCGACGCGGTCGGTCGGCACTACTATACCTTTCTCTCTCATTCTCTCTTTTCCTATCGTCCCCTTTTTGCGATTAGGAACGATTCTTATTGTATGTCTACTATGTAGAATAAACAATAGTTCATCAAAAATTCATTGACCAATAAAAGGTTCTGCTAAGAAGAAATCTGTGTATCATTTTCGTTCAGCTTAATATTACTAAAGCAATATTGAGCTAAAATGAATACTGATTAGAAAACAAAGGTATTCTTAACGGAAATACATTTGCTACGAGAGATACTAGAAGATATTTAATTGCTACACAAAATTAATATTTACTCGAAATATTCTCTTTCTCGATATACAATTAAACAACGAGATACACAATCTATTCGAGATCGCGGCGCGCTAAAGTATCGTTAGAAGAGACGTAGAAATGAATTAATTAGTCGGATCATATACGGCTCGCACGCGCCGGTGGTACATTAATAAATTACTTTCCGTTCTCCCCCCCGGTTCTCCTTCACATTTGCACTGCTCTGCGATAACTGTAAATGCGGAACGACGTCATTAGTGGCCACCGCGATGCACAGGCCCGCGCTTTTTTAATTGCTGCTTTCGGTCACGTGTATCTAGGAAAATATCCGCCAAGACAGTTACGAGTAATTACACCCGTATAAAATATTACCGCTGTATTAAATGCGAAATGAGTGCTTGGATATAATTTAATGCATTTCTACCGCCGACGTAATAAATCCCCGCTTTAATACCCTTTTCTTTCCTCTCGTATAAAATCCTCTCTCTGCTGCTCTAAGCTCCGCGATCCGCGCTCGTCGAATTAACGTAATCCTCGAAGGATTGTATCGCACTGAGAAATCGCGCTTCCTGTTGCTTTATGGATCGATATTTTTTTTCACGACAGCGAAAATTAAATTTTATGAGTTTGATTTGATTTGATCGCTCGATAATCACGATAATCATGACAACCGACCGTTACCGCGGACGACGCGTTTTCTCGGAGACTTTTTAATGAGCGCAGCTTAACCTGAGTGATTATTCAACGTCGATTATCACTTTTACAGTCAAAAGAAAATTGCTAATTTATTAAATTGCTGAAAGATAACGAAAATTTTAATTAAAAATCAATAAATCATTCGCTATTTCAGGGAAAAAAAAACTTACTTGAACAAAGTAATCAAAGCTTTAAATTATTTTTAAACAATTATTATAATCCTAATGATTATTCAAACTTAAATTATTGTAATTTATATTACAGAGAAAAAAGTAACGACCGCATTTTAATTAAATTTTGTGCAACGAGATGTGCTTCTGCTTTATTCGCTTGGCACTCTTCGACGAGATCTGACGAATACGCGAACAGAAGCAGGAGAGGAAAGCTGGAAAGCCGAGCATCTATCGATGTCGGAGAGCAATAAATACTTTGGACAGGACGATCCGTGCATAGACGCGATAACGTCGCACATCGGATGACGAACCTAACCATCTCCGTCGCGTCGCATACGAGAAACGAGTGTAGATTACTCACGCCGATATGAATAGTTATTCGCGGTAATTGGTCGAGGCCTCGTTGCTCCGACGAGATTTTCACCGCGCGCCGCGAGACGAGTTTTGTTAAACACAATTCTAATTGCTTCTTCCGCATCTCCGTATCGGGCTTACGTACGTGTATGAACTTGGCATCTCATCTCTTTGCACCGCAAGTTTTGATTCAAGCTTTAATTCTATTTGCATCCGCAATATAGTTCTAAAGTTCCTATAATAAATATTATAGTTTCGCCAAATTTTATAGATGAAATTTATAGATGAAAATGACATTTTGAAAATATGAGGTCAATTTCTCAAGTGGCAACTCACGTTTCGAACATTTAGCAATCGGCATCGAGCAACCTGTAACTCAACATCTCACACACGACACTTTAATAGCTCGAATCGAAATATGTCCGCGATGTGTCACATGTAACGATGAGTGATGCTGGTTTTAATTATATACTTGTAATAATTACAATTATGTCATTTATATCGCTTCATAATCACCAGTCACGCTGGAATTGTAAAACCTTGAATTTTGTGTTATGTCACGAAACGATGCTTACAGTCGACGCTTACAGTCATTAGAAGTAAGATATCATCAAAGTCAGAATAGAACAACAAAATCGTAACACATTTTCATAAAAAATTGAAAAATATTCAACTTTATGAAAGAAATGATACTTAATCATTTCTAGATACGATCGTCTAGAGATTTGTTAAAATCAGTTAAAAAAGTTGTCATGTAGATGATACTTGCCAGTGGGCGGAAATAAACAACATATTGCGCATTACCGCCAAATAGCGAGCGACAAGATCTAGCGATTAGAGTTTTATCATGAAAAAAAATATACAGATCGTCGCAGAAGCGAGACATAATTGCCCTATTGCTCAACTTGACGAGTTTTTCGCACATCAGTTTCGCGCATCAAATCCTGTCGCGGATCGCGCAAACAAAAGCCGTGATAACAATCGGAAGTAGCGTTACATAGTAGCGAGGATACAACACCATCGGCATGCTGTTTTTTTCCGCGGTTGGATACACCGGATTATGAGATCTGTATAAAAGCGAAGAACGTCTGTTGATCCAGCCAGTGTACGTTTGCGCGAATCAAAGCGAACCACGATGATCAAGCTGTTCCTCATTACGTTGCTTTGCGTGGCGGTGGTAAGAAGTCGATAATAGCTCATTTGTAGTCGCAGAATGGAGCGATGTGTAAATTACGCGTATTATATTAATCTTATAAATTAAATACACGAACTCGCGTTTTATAAAATTAAATTCGCAGTACAAAAAATTTTCTAAGATACATACAAGAATTATAATTGTATTATAATCATATATTTGATCAATATTTGAAAAGTCTGTCATGTACTTTTTTTAATGTAATAAGAAGAGAAGGAAAATACGTATGAGAATAAATTTTTATTATCGAAAACAAAAGCCAAATATGAATAAAATATTTTTGCAAGTAATTTTTTAACACATTCGAAACGTACTCGATTAATTTCGCGAAATAATTTCGGTTATTTCATCGCTACTAGCGTAGCGTTGTTATTTCATTATTTATATTGTCTAATACGATTATATTTATAAGTAATAAAATATTTAACTGCCTTTTCAGTTTGCCGATTCACAGGCCGACTCGCCGGTCGACAAATTGAATCAAGTGAGTACGACGTTTTGTAATTTCTCATAGAATTATGTCAGAAAAATTTGGCAATTCCAATTCACATTTTCAATATGGATATGAACAATTTCGTAATCTCGGATAATTCTTGCGATAAGATAATTTTTACTTAAAGGCATGGACAGGACCACTGAATGCAATGGCCGATATGGCTGATGGTGTTGCAAATGCTATGACGGGTCAAGCAAGTTCTTTAGTGCGACGTGCGGCAGAAGGACCAGGACAAGGACAAGGACCACCATCACCACAAGGACCACCATCACCACAAGGACCACCATCACCACAGGGAGAAGGCCAGGGATAAAACCAAAACTCATAACTCTGGTAGATATTTTCCAAATTGAGGATCGCGATCTTTTAACGTAGTTCATTACTATTTTATTTATATAATCTACAGATTATGTTTTTATTTCGTTGATTGTAATTATAATATCAATCGTGTAAAGTGTTAGCACATAACGCAAGTTACTCCTTGTAAAATAAATGACCAATATTTACTATTTTTAGTATTAATTTTAAAGTTTAAATTTAATAGCAAGAATTAGTAAAATATATCAGGTATACGTATATCAATATAACATATCGATATCAGAGCAAAAATAAAATTAATACTTTTAACTTATAATTTTTATCTGAATTTTTTATTTGAATTCTATCATGACCGTGAATTTGTGAATCGTTCAAAATGACACTCGAGAAAAAATCGTTTAACACTAGAATTAACAATTGTTAAAATAATTTGTGATAATTTATAATTTTTTTTCAAATTTACAACAATACATTTTCTGAAATTTTTCGACTTTAATATATTAATAGATTAAATTAATCAATTTACTTTTCTTTATCCTTTAAAAAATATATGTAGTATAATTAGATAAAACAACGGGCGTACCAAGAATTAATCTTGTATATTTATTTCGCAGGTCTTTTTGAATGGCTACTAAATCTATCGCTATAAATGGATGAAGGTGTGATTAGATTATACTCGCAATCAGCACTGTTTTACTAAATTATTCACGCGGCCGAAAAAAAACCCCGATTTTAGGATAATAAAGCTTGATACTGCAGCAAGTTTTTCGTCACTTTTTATTATTTCTTTATTTCCTGATACTTATTTCCTAAGCCAAAACGATTCGTGGAAGAGTTTTTATATTTTCAGTACAAGCATTTTCGTTATTAAATCCTTTTTTGTTTCTCTAAGAAACAAATTCTAAATAGACCGAATATCTTTTAATTTGTTTCCAACGCATTTTTTCAAGCAAGTGAAAATCCGGATTATATCTCGTACATTTCACCGTCGAACGTCGCGCAAGACTAGTTCGTGCATTTGCACACGCTTGAAATAAATTCTAGCCGAGACTCACGTGCGACAATTCGCCTTAATTGATATCGCATGATCTTGGGGATGCCAATTCCAGATTTTCTATAAATCGTTAAAACGACGTCGACATTCATGAATATATGTAGCACACTACACGAGGAAAAAGATAAGAGTAGTTAACTACATCGCGACATCCGACGAGGCGGCGATTGTCGCACGTAAATCAACGCAAACCGAAAGTAAAGTAAAAAAAAATCACTCACCAATCGACGCGGTGTTATCGCTCCGTCTCATCGTCCGTTCCATGGAGCATCCAACGAGCTTTCCAATGAGCTTGATCCGTCTCCTTGGGCATCGAGCATCCGACCGCGACGGGCTCTGTGTGTCGATGGATGGACGTCGATCACGAAGCACGAAGCACATTATAAAAGCCGAACGAGAACGCGATTAGTGAATACGCGTTCGTCTATCACCGTGCTCACTTTAACGCGATACAGCACGCGCGTCGCGCGTAGAGTGTAGACTGCCGTTCCGCCTTCGCCGAAATTACTACCCGTAACCTTGTTTGTTTGTTATCACGTAGCTCACCGTTGACACGCGGCGTACGCAAACACGGGCGGCGGTGGCGCGCGACGGTGAGGCGGGTACGCGGCGCGCGCGAGTAAACAGCGAGTGGGTGGGGTGGGGTGGGTAGGTCGCGCCGGCGGTGACCGGCAGCCGGTCGCGCGCGCCGTTGGGGGGGCGCGGGTGAGCCGCGCTCGCCACCACATTCCTTTCGACTCCCGCAAAGGACGCCGCGCGTCCACTGTTCGCGCTCCGTTTAGACATAGAAAATCTCCGCAAATCCCCTGTATCTTTCCTTCCCTTTTGCCACAGTCACGTACACGTATGTATAACGTAGTTTCCGTTCTCTGAGACTTCGTGGCGATGTCGATATCTTGACGCTTTTATTGCTCGACAGTCGTCAATTTCGTTGTCCGTAAAACGTACACTTCATTTGGTATGCAAGGTATATCGAGATATTACATATAAATTAAAAGTCGTGATAATGGCTCGTTAATTAATTCTGCTAAATAATCGCGGTGTAAATATAGTTTGATACAAAAGTTGGCATTGCCTATCTTTCGAATTTTAATAGCTGGCAACGAGTTGATCGCTTGATCACTTGCATTCTCACGTAATGCACATTGCACGCTACAAGAGTGTCGCCATCTGCGATATATGGACGACCGACGAGCCGTCTCATTTTTCAATCGTTTTTCGTATATTCGTCCCGTTCCAAGTTGTCTCGCACGTGCGATCGTGACGACATCGCGAAATGTCGGACGATGAATTAATGACGAGCGCGACAGTAATTGACCGATAAACGATCGGCGTGACGCGGCGTAGGTATGAAGTTGCTTTCGCGTCCCTCGGATTTTGCACACGGCGCGCGGCGTCCCTCGGATTTTGCACGCGGCGTCCCCCGTGGGTAGCCAAAACAAGTTGAAGGATGGAGTGTGCCGCGGTTTCGTCGTCGTCGTCGTCGTCGTTTCGTTCGTTCAAGGTATGTATGTACATACGTCGCGTGCGCGAACATTCGGGAGTGGTCGAATTAAGTAACGGGCGAATGTCATGATCTTCGGTGGCGCCGCTTCTTCGGGATGCATCGCGCGTGCGATCGCATATCGGGAGTCAAGTAACGAGCGAACGTATTGTGGCTTTGCCTTGCCATTCTTTTCAAAAGAAAAGAAACGCGTCGCGTCGGCGATTCGGGAGTGTCGAATTAAGTAACGAGCATCGGTAATTTCGCGTCGCTTACTCGATCGAAATGCGTTGCGAATACGTTAATCGGGAGTGAAACGTTCTTTCGCGATCGGTTGTGTGAGTCCATCTGCAACGCGGAGGGTCGAGGGATCGCCAGGAGGATGAATAAGGACGACTCGTCGGCTGGTAAGGAAAATTCATTTTTTTTTAATTCTATAATGTTATACAATTTTTAACTTTAATGTTTTTAATGTTTTAAATATTTTAAATTAAATTATTAAGTTTAATAATTTATTTTTGATATTCTATAATAATCCTAATATTGCAATATTAATGAGTGACAGAACTTATACTACGTTTAATTTAAGTAAATATTTTTGACGTAACGTATATTGCAGATAAAATATTAAAATGATTGGTATGGATTTTTATAGAAAAATTGTAATTGTTTCTTCATACGAGATGCGTAGGCTCGTATTTTCAAAATATATTAATTCATTGTCTCAAAAATCAATTACATCAATTACATTAATTGTAAGTATAATTTACGATTGTAATAGAATTCTATATTTTTTACAGAACGCGGCGTCTCGGCCACTTCGCCGACGTTCGGTGAGTCTTATTTACTTTTTTATCGCGAGGTTTATACGAAATATCTCTCAGATCAATCGCGCAACCGTCGCGATTTTATTTCGTGACGTTGACGTTCCATATATTTTTAAGAGCTCGGCTATATTAAACTCTCACTTGAAAATAATCGATCAGCAATTAATCGGAAAAATATAATCGGAAGCTCAATGTAAGACGTACTCTGTGTATCTGACGGCTGCGTCGCTCGCTTTGCTTGCTAGGCTTACATCATACATACATACATACACGCGGAATGATAATTAAATACGAAGATCGGATGTAAGAGAGCTCGGACGCGTGACGCGTCCACGATTGAGAGGCCCGTCGCGCTCGGGCCGTTTTATTCAGCAGATAAATACGCGATTGGTATCGCGCGACGATTCACACGCCGGGACTCGCGCGTTCGAACAAATCGAATGGCACTCGGCGCGCGATTATCCCTAATCGCCGATCCGTCGAAGCCCGTTTCCATTCGCGTCGCCCGGGAAGAGAGACGGGATGAAAGGAGGCGAGATTCGACTTGCGGATAATCGATGAGACGGCATGAGTGACGCATCCGCCGATGGGGCCCCTCGATCGTGCGAGGCAAAACCGCGGAGAAGCGTCGCGTCGCCGTCGATAAATGACAACGACACACGACAATGACAACGACGACGATGACGGGAGGTAGACGAACGGCGTTGACTACGAATATTATCTTCGGCCGTATGAGAGTTTCTCTCTCTCTCTCTCTCTCTCTCTCTCTCTCTCTCTCTCTCTCTCTCTCCCCGTCCGCTCATCTCTCATCGCGCGATTCCTCTTTTTATCTCGTTACGGGCGAATAAATCGGCGAGGTCGACGCCGAGGTCGGGTTCTACGGACGCCGATAGGAGGTCAGCTGACACATCAGCTGATTCACTATTACCGCGCGGGATACGCGCCGACGTCGCTTCTGGGTGGTAATTAGCTCCAATCCCTGTAACGGCGTCGTATATCTCGTAATTTTTACACGCGGTTGGAAGCAGAATGCGCCGGCGGCCCCTCTGTTCGCTACTTTTACGTTATCTAGATTTTATGTCCCTCTCTTTCTCTCCCTCTCGTCCCGTTGTTCCTGCCGATGACGCGTGTCCCCTACATAATCTTTAATTTAAAAGTGGATTTTACACACACGCGCGTGTTATCTTCTCCATCTTTTTTTCCTGCGTTTCTTCGAGAAAATATTTACGTAAAAATGATGGAGATATAATTTATTCTGCATAAGTAAATATGCATAAATTCGTAACATTTATATTCGTATCTTTATTTAAATCGTTTATATATAAATTACGAAATATGATTTATATAAACTTATCGATCGATCAAATTTACCGTTTTTTTTTATTTATCTAGATTTTAAAATAGATATCTTATTTTTTTAGTCCCGTTTTAAAAGAGTTTTCATCGATGACTCGATAATAATATCACAAAGACTCCGCGAGACTTCCAGATGTCAAACGAAAAAATTATATTCCGGCGAATGGGTATGGGTTGTGTGGGAACACTGAGATTCTTAGCGCATCTTTTCGTAAAGAGATTGGGAGGAAAGGGAGGAACTGCTCCGACGAAACGTGGGAGGAGTCGAAGAAGGACGAAGAGGAAGTTTATCGATGAGGACGTTGGAAAAAGAGATGGTTAAAAAAAGAGGGAGGATCGATCCATGTGTTGCTCAAGTAACAGGTGCCTAATTGTTATTTGTCAATCATCGAAAATTAAGATTTCAAGTCCCTTTGAACCTTACAGACCGTTATTAGTCGATAGAGGAAGTACATCCTATCGGATCTACTGATCCTTCCGCTTTTTTTGTGCCTGCGTTTTTTTTAATGAATCTGATAATCGATTTCACTAATATCGATTAGCTGAAAGTGGTCAGATCTGATCTTTTATTACTAGATAGACATAAGTCGAAAAAAATTATACAATTATATATTTAATTAAAGTTAATATCATTATATATTTGGTAAAAAATTTCTCTCGCAGGAAATTATAGTATATTGATTAACTGAAAACTGATCAGATTTGATCTTTTATTACCAGATACACATAAGTCGGAAAAAATTATACAATTATATATTTAATTAAAATTAATATCATTATATATTTGGTAAAAAATTTCTCTAGCAGGTAATTGTAGTATATCGATTAGCTGAGAGTGATCAGATCTGATCTTTTATTATCAGACAGACATGAGTCGAAAAAAATTATATAATTATATATTTAATTAAAATTAATATCATTATATATTTGGTAAAAAATTCCTCTCGCAGGAAATTATAATATCTCTATGTATATTATAATATCTCTTGTAGATATCTCTCACTGAGTTTTAATCATTCGACAATCGCAGCCTAGGCGACTGCGAGATTGTTTAATTTTCACCGCAACGGCGATTCGATTCGTGCACGATCACGACGCGCGATTGGCGGCATTGCTCGTCCGCGTGCTCGTGATTGGGATGACTTGGCTGGAAAGTGTCTTTTCAGCGTCTCGTTTCCATCTCCTCTTTCTTCCTTTTCCCGCGGAAGAAAGCCATCGCGCGCGATGCCATTCGGTAGCTTCGCCGGCGCATTGTGAGCGTGTCGGAGGAATATCGTCGGCGAGTTCGGTCATATAATGAACTTCCTACTTCCACAAACGACAATGGAAACGGGCAGCCTTAGGTGCTCCATCTCTTCTCCTCCTCCGTTCCAATACGAAATTAGTGTGACTGTCGGTCAATTTCGGCGATTCGAATGCGCTACCGTGCATTGTGTGCGCGTCTTTCCCGAATTCTCTCTCGGTGAATTTCCCGTGGGGAAATTAGAGAACCGTAGAAGACCACCTACAGGAATGAATCGAGGAGGTCGGGGGATAATTATTTTTAGGGAAGATAATGGGGGGGGAGCAGGACAGTAGAAAAATCATTATGTGAATTCTATAGCGCGACAGTTGATTGATAGTTAGAAATTTCGGAGTTTCTATGATTTACAGGCGAATGTCTTTTAGAATTAGATTTAAGCATATCTCTCTTTCTCTATCTATATCGTAGATATAATCTAAAAAGTGAAAAGAAAGAAATACTAAAAAAGACTTAAGCACACCATATTATGTGA